GAAGGAGATTTGACTGTGGTTGCAGCAGGTGTATGCCTCGAATGCTGCATGTGAGACATTCTAGGAGAGGAAGTGGCAGGTGATGGCACCGGGGATAGTCCATGCAGTAGAGAGGCGTACTTTCAATGACAGCTTCCTGAAAACACTGACGACACATTGCAGCAGGAAGGAAAGCAGGCTGACGTTTACAGCTATGTAAGCATGGCATGTCATGGCCACAACGGCATATTGGGAAAGTGATAAGGGGGTGGGGGGGACGAGTGCCAGGCAATCAGTCGCAGTTTTTGCGGTAGAGGCTGGCAGCGACCATCCTTTCGTAGTGTTCGGAGCAGAGATTATGCCTTGTGCATGCCAACTGAACTGTAGTTGTGTGACACATAATGGCATGGCACAGCCACCATCCTCTGGAGCGGGTGCCACACTATCCATGGTAGAATCTGTCCGATCAGGGAAGGGATGCTGACTGGCCTTGTACAGGGGAGGGGGAAGATTCAGCCGGATTGTTCTCTGGAGACTGTAGAGCTTGCGAATGCACTTCTACATATTGACCTGCCAGACCGAGTGGGATTCTGCCACTCGGTGATAGGAGTAATTAACACTGCGAGCACCCTACTGCAAGGAAAATGAGTGATAGCGAACATTAGAAGCCAAGCAGCATCATACACATGAGACCGGATAGTCGTGACCTCGAACCAAAAGCAGAATTGCAACACGAGTCCCACCAAATAAGAGCACAGAAAAAGCTCATAAGTGACAATGTTCGAATAGTCTCATCATCATCAACAAACAACCAATGTCGATATCCTATCTGGCGCTCTGCACCCAGACTACAAATGGCAGATCCTATCTAGCCTATCTACAACGCCGCTGGTGACGTCAACAGCTCCCCGAAGCACGAGCAGATCTCGGCCAATGCCGTTGGCCTCAAGCACCAGGTATGTCTCTCGTATCACTCACAACCTCGATCCCTCACTCATAGATGCCATGTGCACCCAAGGACCACCATGCAACACATCCAGCTATGCAGCGCAGCTTGGCTATGGCTGCCTGCTTCTCTCTCAGCTCGCCCGTGAGCACGTGAGCCTGGCCAGCGTGTAACGCAGCAGCGCTTGCGCAGCATGCAGCCAGTGCCCGAATGAGGAGTGCTGGGGCAGGCACTTCCCTAAATGGAAGTGACCTGCCCGCTGCGTGCGGCCTGCCTGCCACTGGGCCTTGGTCCAGAAGCTTCCGGTAGGCCCCGTGAGGCTGAGCCCCAGTCCGAACGAATCAGGCCCAGGGGCTGTGGTGGTTACCCGTGCCCAACCGCCGACAGCCTGTGTTCGGCCCATGTTGCGTATCTGGCCCAGGGCCTGCCTCAGTTACATGTGAAAAAGGCAGCCTGGGCCTGGGCGCTCTCAACCAACTGGCGCTGTGCAACTGCCTGAACTTCCCCAGTTGCGTGGTGACCCCAAAATGGGCCTGTAGGCCTTGGTCGAGCCTGCCTTCACTTAGGGCGGCCGACTGTACTGAAAACAGGGCCCAGTAGGGCGTATCGAGGCCTTGAGCCTCGCACTACCACCATCGGGCTATAGCGTCCACGAATTATCCGCAAAGGTAATGACACTGAAATGATCTGGACAATGCAGAATATACACACGAATACTCAGGTCCTTGTCTGGCATGTAAATCTTCCCATGAATGCCATTGACAGGACTTCTATGTATGTGCATGTGTGTGTGTTTTCATTCTTTGAATGCATATTCCCGCTCCGTACAGTCATAATCAGCGCACGTTCTGTCAGTGCAACAGATAGCATAATGAGGGCACATTATGCTCACGCGAAGCCAACAGAAAGGCATTCATCTTACCACAGCAGGAGGCAAGATACATTTGTTTCTACTGATAAAAATGACTGTATCTTGCGACCTTCCGTGGTAAGATAACCTCGAGTTTCTTGTTTCAAGTTTTGTACAGGCAGGCCGAGTTTTAGGGGGTCGATTCAGTCATAATGAGGGTATGTCATGTTGAGTAACACATAGCATAATGAGGAATCATCGCCACATTGTTTTGTGTATGGAACACACAACAAAAAAAAACACAGTTGATCATACCAAAGAAACGGATGTATCTTGCCAGCTTCTGCAGTATGATGAGCTTCTTCTTTTTGTGTGTGTGGCATGGCGAGGTAGTATTTTAACCATCTTTAGGGCCGGATACAGTTGTGATGAGGGCTGGCCATGTTATGTACAACGGATAGCTCTGACATCGGTTACAATTGGAAAGATAGCTATATAAGCACACTCTTCATGACTGTATCAAACCTTTGAGGTCCCTTGTATAGCCATGAACACACCTTCCCTCGTCGTAGTTCACCGAACTTCAATGAGGGCTCCTGTATACAAGGGACCTGAAGGATGCTGCAACCCCTCAAATGCTCTCTCTCTCTCTCTCTCTCTCTCTCTCTCTCTCTCTCTCTCTCTCTCTCTCTCTCTCTCTCTCTCTCTCTCTCTCTCTCTCTCTC